GTGGAGTACAGGTTTTTAAGTATGTTTTTATGATTCTCTGGGTTTTCTGTGTCTGTTGTTGTATCCCCCTTTTCATTTCTAATTTTGCTAAATATACTATAGCTACTATCAGTGTGTGAAGGTCAGTCTGTGGTTTAAGCTCTGGTAGTGTTTCCTTTATGAACTTGGGTGCCCTTGTGCTTGGTGCATAGATGTTTAGAATTGCACTATCTTCTTGGTGGGGTTTTTTCTGTCATGAGTATATATTGTCCTTCCCTATCCCTTCTTAGCTTTAGTTTGAATTCTATTTTGTCAGATATCAATATGGCTGTAGTGTGGTGATATTTTATTTGTGCTCTAACAAATAAAGCTTACCTGGGGTCAGAGGACAAAGCCAGCCACTATATTAAACATAGAGTGGTAGCACATGCCTTTAATCCTAGCATTCAGGAGACGAGATTCATCCGGATCTCTATGAGTTCAAGGCCACACTGGGAACAGAGTGGTAGCACATGCCTTTAATCCCAGCACTAGTTAAATATCGAGGTCTGGAGGTCTGTACAGATACGAAGTGATAGAGCTTCTAAGAAAGAGGAAGTGGGGGGTGGAGATATAGCTCAGCGGTTAAGAGCACTGGCTGTTCTTCCAAAGGTCCTGAGTTCAATTCCCAGCAACCACATGGTGGCTCACAACCATCTGTAATGAGATCTGATGCCCTCTTCTGGCCTGCAGGCAAAACATGCAGGCAGAACACTGTATACATAATAAATCTTTAAAAAAAAAAAAAAAAAGAAAGAAAGAAAGAAAGAGGAAGTGATAGCTGGGCAGAGAGAGGAAGTAAGATGGCAGGGCACAGAAAGGTATCTAGATGTGAGTACACAAGAAGTAGCTCTCTCTGGAGGCTGAGGAGTGGGTAAGGTAAGGTTGGCTGTGGCTTGTTCTATTCCTCTGATCTCTCAGTTTTCACCCCAATATCTGGCTCTGGGTTTTTTATTAATGAGACCTTTTAAGATTCATCTTACACTGTAGCAGCTTGCTTTCTATGTCCATTTGCTTAGAATATCTTTTTCCAATCTTTATCCTGAAATAATGTCTACACATGTTATGGTGTGCTTCATAGATGCAGCTGACGAATGGATCCTGTTTTCAAAACCCTTCTGTTACCAGTGTCTTTTTACTGGGGAATTGAGACCATTAATATTGAGAGTTTATCAATCAGCACTATTTGTTGATTCTTGGGATTTTGTCCTTATGGTGTGAGCTACTTTTCCCTTCTTTGGATTTGCTGTTCTGAAGTTTTCCTGGAGATGGTGACAGAGAGGAAGGGAGGGCGCAGCAGGTGGTCTGAGCTGGGGATGAGACTGGGGGATTGGATTCAGACAAGAGGAGGGAGAGTGAAGGTATGAATGATAAAACTAAAGATCTGCATTCTAAATAAGGAACCAACATACTAGAAATTGCTTTCAAACAGTAGTTATCATGCTGATCCTATGGCTGCTGAATAGAATTTCTCTGGTACGAACACTAAAAGGCATCAGAATATTACCTCAAGACATCCAATGGCACTGCTGAATGCAGGGGGGGGGGCCACTGGGGAAATTGGAACCATTCATTACAAAACACAATATTTCAAGCATTATTAATTACAGAGTCGATGTAACCTTGCCATTGAGTGTTAGCATTTAACATATTACCCACGTTTTGTATGTTTCTTGTTGAAATAGTTAAAATTGTTTATAAGCACAAGACACCAGCCGTTCTAACTGGCAGTGCTCCGAGACTCGCGGGACTGCAGCTTCCTGATCACAGTCCTCGGACGTCCCCACCACACTGCCCCTGTGTCACTGTTGGACACAGTCTCCCGTGTGTCATGAGGCACCTAACTGCATAACTGCATTACGGTGTGGAATCAAGATTACCTGCAAGCACAAGTTGTAATCCCATCATATTAACTGCTTTTGCTCATAATATTACAGTTACCGATTTGTAATGGTCACAATTTAAATGAGTTATTTTTAACTAAAATATAATTATATCATAATTCCCTTTCCCCCAATGTAGTGTAGTATCTGCTATGTTCTTACCATATAGACCTATCTTAATGTCTTCAAATGAAGACTAAAGACTAAAAACTGACTTCAAATGAAAATTAATAAGAAGAGATAAAGAAGGACACTCCAGTCTGTTCAACAATTAACCAAGAACACTTTATAATCCCAGATACAATCACCAAGCACAGGTGCACGCATTTTCATGACAAGTGTAATACTGGACTTCAGGAAACAGATGAGGGCCAGGAGGTGGTGGTAGGACTTTAATCTCAGCACTCAGGAGGCAGCGGCAGGTGGATCTCTGTGAGTTCCAGGAAGCATGGTCCCCAGAGTGGGTTCAAGCACAGCCAGGACTACACAGAGAAACCCTGTCTCAAAACCAAAGACAAAAACAAAGAACCAGATGAACCCAACTCCTTAATAGTATGTGACTTCAGCACCCCATTTTCTCCAACAGATAGGTGATCTGGACAAAAAAATAGAGAAATATCACAACTAAATGAGATTCTCCATCAAACAGACTAACAGATCTACAGACAACACACAAACACCCGAGTATGTGTTCTACTCAGCAGCTTAAGTTTATTCATAATACTGCACACACTGGGATACAAAGCAAATCTCACCAAATACAGAACTGAGATAACCCTGTGTGTTCTGTCTTCCACAATGCAGCAGAACTTAAATTAGCAGAGTGATACGTAGTAACTGCAGGAACTCATACAGACTTAGCAACACACAATGGAACAGTAGGTGAGTCAAAGACCTCAAGAAAAAAAATTTAAATGATCAGGAATTAAATTAAATGAATACACAAGGCCTACAAGGAAAAAATATATATCTTTAAGCACACACATAAAAAGCACAGATAAATGACTTAATGATGTAACACAAGACACAAGAGTTTGGAAAGACAAGAACACAACAGACCAAAAGCCAGCAGATGGGGAGATATAAAAAAAGAAAAAAAAATCAAAGCAGAAATTAATGAAACAAAACAACAGTAGCAGTAGGAATAATGTAGTTCATCTTTTTAGCTACTGTTATCAACATGTAGGTATGGGAACCAGGAAAGATTGAGAAAGCTTATCAAGTATGAAGAAGAAAGGATATATAGGAGGGCGAGATATGAGATACAGGACACAAGGCTATTGTAGGTGTTGAAATGTAATGAGATATTTTGTAGGCATAGATGGAAAAGGAGTGTCATAAAAGATTTTCTGGCAGGACACAATTAAAAAAGTTAACCAAGTATAAAGCTATCAAAACTAATAAGCCTAAAATTTATGAAATATAAAAACTAGAATAAAAGGATAATATACCCCCACACCTTTCAACTGTCATGTGGAAGTCTTGACAGTTGAACGGAGCACCACTCAGGAATTCTGACAAGCTGTCGGTGTGTCCTAGATGGAACCCCACAAGAATGCTCTGCTCTGAGTACAGCCCCACCCCCATCCCCACCTGCTCCGCAAGTCACAGTCCTGTCACTATTGAATTAGGGATAATGATTTCTTTATGGACTGTGTTGTAGGATTCAGGAGCTGAAGGGGTCTGAAAGGCCCTTCCTGCTGGACATCTACCTGTGTGTGCCATCGGAGTGCTTGGCTGGATTCCAAAGCATACTTCCAGAGATCCTAGGTAGCTTGCCCCAGGTATGGGGTGAGGGTGTGTCATTTGCTCTGGCTGGATGGTGTCAGAGACAAAATCCCTGGTCCTCCCCTGCCACTCCATCTGGTGCTAACTCTGATCCAGCCAGCTAGCTAACTTTTTACCTGACTCCACAGTAAAAAGAGGTGGCACCTTCTGGGAGTGTTCAAGGGAGACGATAGTTAGTTCGTTCAGATAGTTCTCACTTGTGGATTCTTCAGGTCCCTGTTTGGGCGCCAGAATAATGCCGTCCGTGGGCAGGCCAGCTCCCCTGAACTGCTCCAGGATTGTGAACAGAAGACCTCAGAGTAGTGAGGGATTAGGAAAAAATTCTTTTCTATCTAGAGGCTAGACTTTTCCTATCTGAGGGGTAAAATAAGGAAACACACACACTTTCTGCTGGTAATCGAAGAAAAAAGGAACAAGCACATGCTTTCCTGATGGCAACCTTCTCTTTTACTTCAACTTAAATAATCTCTCTTGAAAATCTATCTTTACACAGCTACATTCTTTACATACATACATCTTTTCACATGGCTACACAGCTTTCTTTTACATACATTTCTCTTCTACATCTCTTTTCTATGCAGCTTCATTTTCCTTGCCTCCATACAGTTACAAATCTCTACACAGCCACAGCTACACATCTCATTTACACAGCTCTCATCACACTTGACACAGCTCCTCTACGTAGCAGCAACCCTCTCACACAGCTCTCTCACTCACTCACACACACTTATTCTATATTATTCACTCACTCTTTACTCCTCACCCCCTCACACTTCATCTCTCTCAGGACATGCACACACTCCACTCACATTCTGCAGCTGCTCTCACATGTCCACCATCTGACATGTCTGGTCCACGACACTGGTGTGCCCGGTGTGTGCCACCACAGCAGGCTGTCTGTGGTGCTGGGATCCAAACTCAGCTCTAGCTCTCGTGGCAGGTTCTCCTGACTGAGCCGCCTGCCCAGCCCCTCCTCTTCTCATACCTAGAAATCCTAAAAAATGTTCCTGGATGTGGCGCTCACTACCTACCAGAAATGTCATCTAGGGAAATATTTGGAAGTGCTAAAGCTGTTATTTCAGACTTTTTCAGAGCGAAGGTGCCCTCAACTTTCTATTGTTGGCCAGGCCAGGAAAGGAAGTCAGAACCAATGCTAAGTAGATGCCAGGTCAGGGATAAGACCAAGGCTCCTCCAAGGTCCCATCAGATCCGCTGAGGGTTCCTCACCAGGTTCCAGGCTTGAAGAATGTCATATTTAACCAAAAAAGCAAACTGCTGGAGAGTTCCAGAACTCCCAAGGAGCAAACACCATTTACAAACTAGAGATATAAACATTTATTTCACAACTTTACCATAATTTTCTAAGGAGACATACATGTACTGGGGACATTTGAAACACTGGGGCCGCTGGACGCTGAGTCCTCGAGAAGCCAGGAGCAGACGCACCACACGGGCCAGCTCTGCTTCACTTAGGGCCACCTCCTTTCTTGGGACCATTAGTCCTTATTTCATGCCAGATTTTCACTAGAGGCTCCCTGTTCTTCCAAATGAGTTCATGACCATAAGTGATGTACCATCTGGAGAAAGATAAATGGTCCAATGTTCAAATGGTGTGACATGCAAACACAACCTCATCACAGCACTAAGTGACACCAGTTTTTTTCCTTTTTTGTATTGTTTTCAATAAAAAGAATATTTGCTTCAGGCGAGTCGTTGTTTTGTCTGCATGTGTTTCTGTACCATGGATGTGCAGTGACACTGGAGGCCAGGGGATCACTGCATCCCAGGAACTGGAGTTCACACAGTTGGGAGCTGCCATGTGGGCACTGGGAACTCAGGTCCTCTAAAGAACAGTCAGTGCTCTTCACTGCTGAGCCAGGTGTTCGGCCACAAGTTGATACTTTAATAAAATGCCAAGGCCACTCCACAAAACTGAGTAAGACAGGTAATTTGATATAAAGCTTTGGCATTTATGATGTATAGAGGATAAAAGCAGGATGGGCTTGACTGGCTGTTTGGAACTATGTGGCAGCTTTACACCATCACTTAGGCATTTTTCTTTACATTTTATTTGTCTTGGAGGAGGAGGCACAAATGCCACAGTGTATATGTAGAGGTCTGAGGACATCACATAGGTCCCAGGGATGGGACTAGGTTTGTGGAAAATGCCTTTACCCACAGAACCACCTCCAAGGCCCTGCACTGTAACTTTTTATTCACTGCAAGTTAACCATCATGTTTCCTTGTTTGTTTACTTATTTATTTTTGAGACAAGTTCTCACAATGTAGCCCAAGTTGGCTGGATACTCAGGACAATTCTGCCTCCCAAAAGCTAGGAATAGAGGTGTAAACAAAATATGTACCATTGTTTTTCTCATTACAGACCAGAGAAGAACAAGTATATAAGAAAATAATTTGCTCAACATGCAAACAGCTTTGTGTGTCAACTAAGTCTGATCAAAGGTACACTGACCCTTTTTTTACTATGAAAAAGAAGAAATGTCAGGTGTGGGATTTGCTAACATGTACTATAATGGTATATACGCCTCCTGCCATTTCCACATGCTATACACAGAGGGTGGCCTGTCAATCCAACCCCTGCCTAAGGCAATGAGCAGTGAAGGAGAAAGGTGTAATGCCTTAGTTTGCTCACCCTCTGACTAGGAACCTGAGATCTTGGGCTCCAGCCACTGCACACAACAACATGAAGGATGTCTCCACGTACTGAGTGACACTGCCAACTGGATAGGCATGCCGTAGCCACCTGAGCACAGGCTGTGGGGTTCATTTAGGGCAGCTTCACCTCTCCTGGGAAAGGACACAACCTCCAGGAGACATGGACTGATGGGAGACTGGCAGCCTAGAAAAGTACCTACCCTCGAAACCCTGACTTACATACTCATTCCTCCAAGCCGACTTCAAATTCCAAGGGGCAGATTCCAAACTTCGTGACCTCATTTTTACTAGACATCTGATTTTATTATTTAAGGGAATGGGCATGATGGCCATGCTCTTAATCCTGGCAGAGGCACAGAGGCAAGAGGCCAGAGGTACGGCAGAGGCAGAGGCAGGTGAATCTCTTGTGAGTTTGTTACCAGCCTGTCTACATATCAAGATCCAGGCCTTCCACGTTTACATAGGGAGTCCCTGTTTCAAAAAGAATAAAGGAATAAAAGATTGAAGGGGTGGGGAGATTTAAGGGCTCAGAGGATAAGAGCATCTGGTGCGCTTTAAGAACCGGGTTCACCTCTCAGCATCAACATGGTGGCTCCCAACTATGTGAAACTCAAGTTCCAGGGGATCTGCTGCCCTCCTCTGTGGGCACCAGTCATGAATGTGGTTCACAGACATACATGTTGGCAAAACATTGATATACATAAAAATAAATACACCTCAAACTGATTTACATTGGAACCAATACAAAACATAATATTTTAACATGTCAAAAATATCTGAATATGCATTTTTATTGTAAAGGGCTTGACTTATACCAGAATTTTAATTCCTTCTTATGAAAGCTGGACACAAGGGTACACATCTGTAATCCTAGCCCCCAGGAAGCTAAGGCAGGAGAACTGCCATAAGTTCAAGGACAGCCTGGGCTGGGTACTGAATAAAAGGCCAGACAGGAGCTACATAGTAACAAAATTATCTGAAGCTAAAGCAAGATTCTCTCATGAATGCAGAAGAGAAAAAGGATTGCCCCTTTAAATGTAAACCCTTAGAAGTGAGTCGCTTGTCAAGGACTCCCCATGAACTGAGGATCTTTCCAAATCTTTTGAGCCTTCTAAATTCATGCAGAACCGAACACTTCAGTCTGACAGGCAACGACTCCATTAGACTCATGAATACAAAGGAACCTGTGAGCTGGCTAAGCCCAAGTTAGGAAGACGACATTGTTTTGCTCCAGGGGTTGAGTTCAGAACCTGCACATTCCTTCGGCTGTGCCACCACCGACCACAAAGCATTGGTGTCCTCTCTCCTGCTGCTGCAGGGGAACAAGCAAGTGCCCTGCAATGACTGGCTGGGAGACCTTAGCCAAATTACCCATTCCTTCTTTTTTGGTAAAGGGGGGTGTGGTGTGTGTTTGAAACAGGGTCTCTCTATGAACCCCTCTTTGGCCTCAAATGCATAGAGATCCACCTCATCTGTCTCCTGAGGTCTGAGTTGAAAGGTGCAATGCCACACCTGCCTCAAACTACCCATTCTTTATGCAGTTTCTTGTCTGAAGAACAGAATGTCTCAGAGGGTTTTAAGAAATCAAATCAACCCTTGGACAGAGAGCTCTGTGAGAATCAGCTGTCACACGGCTGGGCTCTGTAGCTCTGCTGTAATCCCACGGTACAGTGTGAGGGTGTGCATGCATGTGGGTATGCACATGTGTGCATGGGTGTGTGTGTATGTACATGTGGGGGGTGCGCATGTGTGTTTATGCACCTGTGTGGGTGCGTGTACACATGTGGGTATGTGTATTCAAGTGTGTGGGTGCATGCGCACGTGTGTGGCTATGTGCATGCACGTGTGTAGGTCAAAGGGTAACTTGCAGGAGTCAGTTCTTGCCTTCCACCACATGCATGCTGGAGATTACATGTGGGTCATTAAGCCTGGCAGCAAGCCCCTTACTCACTGAGCCCTCTCGATGGCCCAGGTTTCTGAATCCTTTCTAAACACAGAAAAGATGAGTCCTGGACATGAATGAGATCCAGTACGTGTAAAGAGGGTAAATTAGAACAGTGAGGAGAAAAGATGCTTTTGCTTCTCAGATCCCGGACTGTAAAGTATATGTGACCAATTATTTTCAGAATAAAAGAAAAGTAATATTTAGAACAATTAAAAACCCGCCAGGGGAAGAGATGCTATAAGAACACACGGAAAGTACAGATGAATTTAGAGTTCACAAAGCAGAGCTCCTTTCCTAAGTCTCTGTGTCTGTAATGTGCTGTGATAATTAGAGCTACAACACGCATGTGCCATGCTTTAACCACCACGGACATCATAAATGGCACAGCAGCGCTCAGCTCCACCTGGGGCAGCACCGCTTCACTCAGAAAGACTCCGTTCTGTGCAAATTCAGGCAAACCCAGCTTCCTGAAGTTCAACAGCGCGTGTGAGCACACAGTGTGCTCAGTCGGTGTGCTGCAAACAGAGGCTGAGGGTTTGGATTTACGTTTCTGCTCTGCTCAAAGTCATCAGTTACTCCTGAGACTCAGTTTCCCTCATTAAACAGGAACCTAAGGTAGCGAGCTTAAAACTTACATGCAGCAGGCATCGGGTACCGTCGTCCCTGGAACATGGTCCACACCAGCCTCTCTCTCTCTCTCTCTCTCTCTCTATATATATATATATATATATATATATATACACACACACATATATATATATCCTAGACATACTGTGCTCTCTCTCCCACACGTGCACCAGTGCTGTCCCCCAGTAACACGGGACCGGCAGGGGGTGGGCAGCAAACAGCTCAGCACTGATTATGCTCAAACTTACATTCCAAAGAGAGCTCCCCCAAGATGTGCTGCATGATCAAAAAATTTCCATCCCAGGATCATCCCAGCTGTATCCATGGCAATGATGGCTTTTAAGGCCTAGAAGCCAGGGAGAGAAAAGAGAAACGGTACAATTTTGATCCCCATTTCCAATTTAAGGGCAAGAGTTCAGGCTCTGTTGAACACTGCTCCGGGCAGACGTCGGCAGGTACTTACATTGCCTGCTGTGAAGGTGAAGACCGGGAGGAAGATGATGGCGAGCCTCCCATCTGGGATCTTGGTGCAGACTGCTGCAAGCACAGTCATGATCGCTCCTGACTGCAAGGTAATACACATGGCGGTGAGGACAGCAGACCAGGGAGATGGGCTGCCTAGGCCCTGTGCAGGCCCACGCACCCCCATCTGGAGGGCTCAGATCTTTCCACTTTCCACTGTGAATGTGCACAGTGTCAGGGGAAGGGATCCAGGCTGTCACACAAGGCTGCAAATAACCCCAGGACACAGACTACACTACCTATGGAGAACTTAGCTGTATCACAATAAGCACATGAATGAGCCCCAAAGAGAGCATTCCATATGCCACACACCTAAGTGAGACTGTCTAACAGCCCTCTAACCGGCTGGAATGAGCTAGGGGCAATGTTTTCTTACAATTTAAATTTATATGGCTGTGAGGTGTTTTTCTGGAATACACCAGTTTATCAAACCTTTTAATGCTACCACGATCCTAATTCTTCTGAATGGTGGAACATCTCAAAAACACAATCACAACTCCTTGTTTACATTAACTCTCATGACACACATTCATTCAAATATCTGACTCCAACACAGTAGACATGCTATTCCATACTAGAGACACAGAGGTGAACAGACAGGCCACCTTCATGGACCTTACCCCAAGGTAGGAAAGACACCTAAGAAAAAAGAGCAATTCTGAGATGGGAAGGGAGGTGCTGTGTGCCATGACAGCACATGGAGACCCAGGCTCAGGGCAATGAGAGGACACAAGAAGAGCGTCCAGCAAAGCAGCACAGCGGAACCAAGGCTGGACGTGAACTGCACAGCCTGGCAGAGGACTGCAAAGAATCCGAGTGTGAGGTGCAGAGGGAAAACACAGCATGGCAACCTAGTCTTTTTCTAACAAAGGTCACAGCTGAGACAAAGCTGTCTGTGAAAGGAATAATTTATTGAGAACAAATCTTAGTTCTCTCCAAAGTGCTTCCCTGTCATTCCTCTCCAGTATCAGGTGAGGAAGACACACTGTGACAGACAGCAGGAGTCTTCAGTGTGACATGCCAGCACACAAAAGGACAGCACGGAAACCACCAACTCTGGCCAAGTTTGCTATGTCAGTGCTGATCCCAGTGTGGTAAGGGAGGTGTGATTACAGAAGACACTAGCTATGAGGATATGCATGTTACCTTTGCATAAGAATACAGTGAAAACCGACTCCAGCTAAAACAACAGAGTCTACGCCCAGTGGAACGCATGCCGGGGAGGTTGATGAACATGGTATTTACACAATCTAAAATGTCTACTCACATCTTATACATTAATTTTAAAAGAAACTGTAGTATAGAAACTACACAGCAGCTAAGATGTTCACCACAGAAAGGGACAGACAGACACCATGTCCCTGTGGCCCTAGTACCTGAGGACACCACTCATCTAATACTGCCACCCAGCCACACAAGCTGACCGAGTCTGGAGGAAAAAGACAAATCCACAACAGCCACCCTGTACTGTCTGAAAAATAAAGAGGACCTGTGGAAATGCAGCAGCTTTTAGAAGCCCAGAAAATCATAACTAAATGCAACACATGAGTTTAGGGGAAACATTACTGGAACAACTTCCATAACTGGAATATGGATTATCAAGTTTCATGTAGCTATTTAATAGCGGCGCTGTGGGATAGGTAAAGATATTTGTGTTTCTAGGAAATATATGATGAAGGAACAAAGAGACACAATGTAAGACAACTGGTCTTGAGGATGGTAGCTCAACACATAGAAAGCTCTTGACACCAAACCTGACGCCTGAATCTAGTCCCCAGAACCCAAAGCAGGAGTCAACCCCCAAAGTCGTCCTTTGACCTGCAAATGTACACCACAGCACATTTGTGTGCACACCACAGCACATTTGTGTGAACACCACAGCACGTGTGTGCACTGGTGCACTGTGTCTGTCTGTCTCTCTTTTGTATATACACACAAGAAAAGATAAAAAACAAAAGAAACATACTCAAATGGTTCTGAAAAAAGTATAGTCAGAAAGGAAATGATATATGCAAAGTGTTAAAAGCTAGTGGATCTGTGCTAAAAAATCTAACATTGTTTAAGATTTATTTATTTGTTTGTTTGTTTATGTATGTATGTATACAGTGTTTTTGCCTGAATGTATGCCTGCAGGCCAGAAGAGGGCACCAGATCTCATTACCGATGGTTGTGAGCCACCATGTAGTTGCTGGGAATTGAACTCAGGACCTCTGGCAGAGCAGCCAGTACTCTTAACCTCTGAGCCATCTCTCCAGTCCTGCACTAAGATTTTAGAGCTGGTTTAAAATGAAACATAGAATTAAATAAATAAAGCAAATCATAGGGGTAAAATCTTTGTGATTCGGTTAGGCAAAACTTTCCTCACTGCAACTACAAAAGTGAGCTCTAATAAGTACATTAAACTTTGTGCAAACTAAAAGCATACTCTTTGAAAGAAATTGTTCTGGAAATGACAAACAAATGTTTGCTGGTTAAAATTCTGATAAAAGCCAGGCAAGGTGGCACATGCCTACAATCCCAGCACTTGGGCAGTACAGGGAATGGGATGAGGAGCTCAAGGTCAGCCTTAGCTACCTGAGTATGTTTCAAACAACAACCTAACAAAGCACTTGCTTCCAAAATATAGCAAGAGTATTTGACAAATTCCATACAGATGATATTGATCAAGGGATAACTCAAAGATGACGCACGAGGAACAAACATGAAATCGTCAACATCACTAGCTGTTGGAAAACCAAAGTCCCAACTAGGCCACAGCTGTGAGTGGCTGAAGACATGGAGACTGGGACTCTCACGTTCTGTTGGCAGGAAAGTACAGAACACTACTGGTCAATGTGCTACAGTCTGTAGGTTCTTAAACAGTAACATCTGTACCATATGATCTGGTCATTTGACACTAAGAATGAAAGCACATGTCCACACAAGGGGCTGTACACAAAATGTCCACAGCATTTGTTGGTTTGTTTTGTTGCTTGAGACAGGGTCTCAGCATGTAGCCCTTGCTGACTTGGAACTCTATGTAGACCAGGTTGGCCTGGAACCCACAGAGATCCACGTCCTCTGCAACCCGAGTGCTGGTCATAAAGGCGTGCGCCACCGTGTCTGCCCAATGAACACTCTAACACAGCAGCAGACTTAAATGTGCAATGAGAATTATCTAATCCTGGAGGGGGATCTCATTATTCTGACACACTCTTCCCAATATGTACTATGTTCCAGCGAGTACATGCAAATGACCAACAGTTAAAAGCTACAGAGACAGGCCAGGTACGGCAGCGCCCACCTTTAATCCCAGTACTCAGGAGGCAGAGGCAGGCGGATCTCTTGAGTTCCAGGCCAGCCAGGGATATACAGTCAGACCATCTCAAAAAGATAAACAAACAAAGGAGGAGGAAAGCACTAGTTCCACCAAGCTGACTCTCCTCCACACACCAACAAGTAGAAAGGAGAAAATCTGCAGTCTGAAAACTTCAGTTTTATAAATGTGTGCATTCTAAGTCTGACAAAGATGTGTCACAGGAACTGTTTCTATGTCAATTTACTCGTTCTTTACTGTTACACTGAGTCTGTAAGACATAAGGCAAACGCAGGCTGAGAGTATATGGAAGCTGTATTCATTTGCAACTTTCTTATAAACATAATCATTCCTCAGTGAAATTTAAAATTAGATCAGAAAATATTTATATTAGATACACTTAAAAAAAGAAAGAAAAAGAAATACTTACTGCACCAAGTGAAGGTCCATATCTTCCTGTGGCAACTTTACACACATAACTGACAAAATTGGAAATAACACCTATGAAATAAGCCACATTTCAACAGTTTCAGTATAAAAGGTACTGTTTTTTCCCTTTAGATGTACTGGTGATTGAGCCAGGGCCCTCTGCACACCAGGCCAGCCCTCTGCACACCAGGCCAGCCCTCTACCACGGCACTCTGCTCCCAGCCCTTCGTGTCTGCATTGTAGTCTCCACTCCAGTTTTAGTGACTGGTTCGCCTCTTTTCTTTAGATGGTATATTGCTTGTAGTCCAGGGTGGCCTCAAACCTGCTATCCTCCTGCCTCAGCCTCCTGAGTGTTGGGCTTACATGCTATGCTCAGCAATAGTGTAGGGTTTCTATCTGGATCCATCTAAGGTCGCCAGTATGAACCCCACCCTACTATCACGTCAGCTAATTTATAGGGCAATGTCCTGAATGCGGTGTCCTTTCCAAGACCCCATACACAACTTACTGAGTGACATACGGGGTCCACTTTACCTCTCAGTTCTCATTTTCCCAATCTACAACAAATGAGACAGATGGCTATGATAGCTGGGAGGTCTGGAAACCATTATTAGAAGATGGCTGATCTGAACTACAAAACCAGTGCCCAGGGAGATAAAAATGTGATGTTTAAGCAGTACTCTATTCCTAAATCTCTGCTCGCCAGTTTAAACCAAGCATCCCCAAGTAATTACTGGGAACTATCAGATGAGGATCAGGGAAGGAACAATTCCATTTGTCTGTGATGCCCTTCTACACACAACTTGATAAACAAATCCATCCCGAGTATCCGCTGTGTAACCTTTCCTCTGTCCTTCTGCAGAGAAGTGCGGCTGACAACCCAGCGCTCTCCGAGTGCTCATTACCTGCAGACAGGTACACTGCCACAAACTGCTCTTGACCCAGAATGTTCACGATGCTGGTTGAGAAGCTCCACAAAACATACATGTTTGCTGCCATGTGGAATAGGGAGAAATGGCTGAAGGTTGACAGCAACATTGGAGAACAAAGAACCTCTGCAAGAGAACAAAGAATCTGGTAACATGCAACCTAGGGCACTAAGGTTTTCATTTTAAGCTTGTCTCATTATTGTTATTAAAAGCCAAACCTAAGAATCCAAACAATCAGTTAAAAGTTTAAATAAGATTGTTTAGCCGGGCGGTGGTGGCGCACGCCTTTAATCCCAGCACTCGGGAGGCAGAGCCAGGAGGATCTCTGTGAGTTCGAGGCCAGCCTGGGCTACCAAGTGAGCTCCAGGAAAGGCGCAAAGCTACGCAGAGAAACCCTGTCTCGAAAAACCAAAAAAAAAAAAAAAAGATTGTTTAACAGAGCACTTTTAAAAGATTTGTTTGTTTATTAATTAATTATGTATGCAGTGTTCTGTTTGCATGTATGCCTGCAGGCCAGAATAGGGAGCCAGATCTTATTATAGATGGTTGTGAGCCACCACATGGTTGCTGGGAACTGAACTCAGGACCTCTGGAAGGGTAGCCAGTGCTCTTAATTTGAGCCATCTCTCCAGCCCTTAACAGAGCATTTTCAAAGGATAAAAACTACCTTAACAAATGTTTCTACTTAGTAAGCAGCCAGTGAACATTCAAAGCAACTTGTCTTTGTCACTAAAGCATAAGAAAATTATTTCAATTACAAACACAAAATTACATATAATATGTAATTCTTTTCTTCAAAGAATAAGCCTGCAGTGATTTTAGATCTTAATTTAAATTTTTTATTTTTATTTTGTCTTTTTTTTTTTTTTTTTTTAAAGATTTATTTATTTATTATGTATATAGAAGAGGGTGCCAGATCTCATTACAGATGGTTGTGAGCCACCATGTGAGTGCTGGGAATTGAACTCAGGACCTCTGGAAGAGCAGTCGGTGCTCCCAACCTCTGAGCCATCTCTCCAGCCCTTTATTTTGTCTTTTTAATTTAAATGTATGGGTACTTTGCTTTATGTCTGTGTGCCTGGTGCCCAAGGTGGCCACAAGAGGGCAATGGATATCCTGGAACTGAGGTTACAGGAGATAGGAGACGACATGTGGGAATCAAACCTGCGTCCTCTGGGAAAGCAGCCAGTGCTCTCGACTGCTGGGCCTCCTCTCCAGCCCCGGATCTAATTTTTTTTTTTTTTTTTTTGGACACTTTTTTTCTTCTCACTATGTAGCCCTGGATGTCCCAGAACTCTCTATGTAGACCAGGCTGGCCTCAAACTCAGAGATCCCCCTGCCTCTGCTTTCTGAGTGCTGAGATTAAAGGTTGCTCCACCACGCCTGGTCCAGATCTTAAACAAAGGAAAGCACCTACTATGTGTAAAGTACCTTTCAGGCCTGGGGGATTACAGCAAAGGAGAGACAAAGTTCCTGTCCTCAAGGAGCTTACAGGCTTTACCTCTGTATTGTGTATGATTGCTGACACATAACTCATTCTTGTAACATTCTGACTAATATAAAGCCTATTTTCCATATTATTTCTATCAACATAAATTCACACGAGTTAGACTTACTTGATGCTGGGTTGGATGTAAAATATCTGATCATGGTTCGATGCAGTGATGGCACCCTCCATAGGCAGAATACCAGAGCATTTGCGGCTATGATGCCTACAACACAGAATTGAAGGACATTAAAATAAGAGCCGAGAAGTTCGATCCCGTCCACCTGATGTTCCCCTGCCACAGTTGCATGAGTGGACTGTGTATTTGGTAAGGGGTAGTAGGCTGAGGAACACAAACCATGCCAATGCCTCCGAAGTGTCAAAAGGGTAAATCAGAGGTTTTGTGGAAAGCTGCAAATGCTCTAAGAACTGGCTACCTTTTTGAAAATGTCTTATTTACGGTGGGCTGACACACACAACTTTCGGGGTCACTCTTGCCTTCCTTGCCGCCCCAGGATCGCTACCGTTTATGCTGTGGTGTTGTGAGCCCAGGCTGGCTGACCTGCCAGCTTCAGGAGCTTCACCTGTCTCCAGCCCCATCTTGTTGTGGAATACTGACACACTCAGCCTCTCACAGACTTTCCCTGATCCTGAGGACTGACTCAGGTTGTCAGGCTCAGGGGGGCTAATTGGGAGACTAGCGTCCCGTCCCGTCCCATCCCATCCCCCATTTTCTCAGACAAGGTTTCTCTATATAGACCTGACTGATCTGGAACTCACTTTGTAGACCAGGCTGACCTCAACTCACAGAGATCTTCCTGCCTCTGCCTCCTGAGCACTGGGATTAAAGGTGTGCACCACCACACCCAGCTGAGGCTATCATCTTTACACAGTCATTTCCCCAGCCCAGGACTTTCTTCACCCAGATCAATATTTTTCTCCTTCAGAACAGTTTACTCTTCTCAATAAATAATCAGATCAGTAATTATTGTTTGATAATGGCCAACCCAAAAACAGAGGCAGGAGGATCACAAACTACTAGGGGACAAACACACAATAGGGAGGCAATGCCCACCCGAGGGACCACTTCCTCTAGCAAGGCCCCGCCTCCTAAAGGTTCCCTAACCTCCCTACAGCACCACCACCTGCTTGGGACCAAACACATGAACCCATGAGTGACATTTCACACTCAAACCACACCTGGTGAGAGCCTAACAGGCGCCCCTGAAAGCTGGAGAGGAGAAGTAAGCTTCTTGGGGTTGTGTTGCAGAATATTTGTGTACACTGTAAAGATGTGTCTCTGCCTAAGGTGCTTTCTGATTGGTTTAATAAAGAGCTGAATGGGCAGTGGCTAGGCAGGAGAGGATAGGCGGGATTTCCAGGGAGACAGAGGAAGAGCGGGAGGAACCTAGGTGGGTGCATTTCATCAGAGACTTTGAAGAAGTTGGACATAAGGCACAAACCAGAGGTAACTGAGTCATGTGGTAGAATGTAATTAATAGAGACAGGTTAATTTAAGTTATAAGAACTAGTTGGATAAAAGCATAAGCTAAGGCCAAGTTTCCATAATTAATATTGTCTCCATGTTGTTATTGGGGAGCTGGAGGTCCCACGAAAGAAAGCTGATGACATTTTAAAAAGATTGTTACAATTAGCATACATTGTAACATAGGGCCTGAAAAAGCTGAGAAAAAAAAGTGAGTAGGCTCAGTGCTTGTGGCTTACAGAGACTCTTTTAAGAGACTCTGCTACTGAGCATCTGAATGGGGTTTATGAGCAGCTGACAGCCCGCCACTTGGTGGAAGAAGACTAGGCAGAACCGCCTACCACAGCATGGACCCAGAAACTTCCCAGCCCTGGGGCAGATGAACCAGCTCCAGGCCAGGGCTCACAGACATGAGGCACCACTATTCACAGACTCAAAGGGGGCAGAGGCAGACCATCCACCTGGCATTTTAAGGTTCGGCTCACACGATCAGAACATTGTACTAGTGTGCAGATGCAGGTGCTTAAAAAGTTAGGTGCAGATTGAGAAAACCTCTGAACAGATATAGTATGATTACAAATGTACTTAGATGCTAAAGAAAAAAAATGAGTATAAACAGTCATAAAAAATAGTTTAAAAATAATGAAGTCTTTAAACAGAGTAAAGTAATATAAAAGGAAAAAGCCACAACACGATGGAAAATACACAGGGTGTCTGGATCCTGTATGGTGCTTTGTTGACTTTAAATCTTTGAAATGCTGATAAACAAAAAAACCATAGCTGCTGAGAAACACTGGATTATGGAAACTGCTCAAAATGCTATTTTGAGAATTGTAGATGAATTTCTAAACAATCTTATTAAATAAGAAACCGAGCCAAATAAAGGGGTAATAGCCGAAGAGGTCAGAGATGTAGGGAATAGCCACCCACTAACCTTAGCTCACCACATCACTGTAGCTTCCCAAGAGAGATTCTTCCTGTCTAACCTGTGCCTTTATTGCCTTCCTGTTCTGCCTTCCCATTGGCTCTAAGCTCAGCCACATCACTTCCTCGTCACTGCCTGTCTATACAGACCTCCAGGTCTCTAGGGTTGGTACTGGGATTAAAAGCATGTGTCACCAGCTTGGCTGTGTCCTTGACCACACAGAGACTCTGCCTGCCATGTGATCGGATTAAGGGAGTATGCAACCACTGCCTGACTTCTGTTTATGGCTCACTATGACCTCTGATCTCCAGGCAAACTATTTATTAACATACAAATAAAATATGTCATTTCAGCACAAATAAAATATCACCACAGAGAATATCTTAACTTCAGAATGGAAGTCAGAAAATACACTGCATTGGGGGAAAGGTTTGCTTTGTTTCAACAGGAAACAAAAAGCCATGGATTTCATCAAAATTAAGACCAGATTTGATTAGGAGACCTTCTGAAAATCTTGGCTAGAGACATGAAAAATAAAACAAGAAAAACTACAAAACAGGTGATATATAAGCTGATGCCTTGACATGGGAACAGCTCTGAGACTGGATGAGACATGATCAATCTTGCTGACTACACAGTCCTCATGACTTACTATTACATGCCATCCTTTTATATGACATGGATAGAGGTTTGGTTATACAGTCCAAAGAAACTTATAAAGTTAACAGATGCCTTTTCCCTGTTCAAACATAAAACAAACAAACAAAAAAAATCATCTTTAGCTGACTTGTGTACACTTCATATTCCATACTTATGTTACTACAGATATATCTGTTACCTTTAAAAGTTTGTGGGTTTTCAGAACAAAAGGACCAGACACCAATGAAGACAAGTAGCCCAGGTGATCCAGCCTCAAAATGCCTCTGTTGCAGTTTCTTAAAAATTCTACAACGCTTATGCAAGGACACTTGGCTCAGTCTGGGAGGAGGGGACTGGTCCTGTCTGGACTGAGTCTACCAGGTTGATCTGGAGGAGGTGGGAATGGGGGGTAGGCTGGGGGAAAGGGGAGGGGGGCAGGAGCGGGGAGAACAAGGGAATCTGTGGCTGATATGTAGAACTGAATGGTATTGTAAAATAAAATAAAAGGAAAAAAAAATTCTACAACCAGACTGGGCGGTGGTGGCACATGCCATTAATCCCAGCACTTGGGAGGCAGAGCCAGGTGGATCTCTGTGAGTTCAAGGACAGGCACCAAAACTACACAGAGAAACCATGTCTTGAAAAACAAAACAAAACAAAACAACAACAAAAATCTACAACCAGAACAATTTCAAAGCTCCTAGCTGAGATGGTCCAGCCTCATAGATTATCCAACTAGGACTTCAGATAAGCTCTACACCTTCCCATTATACAGAGACTAAACAAAAAAATAATATAGCTAGCTCTCCCAGGACTTGACCATTATCCCCATTTTCTCAGGGTCCTCTGGAGATGCCATCACCCCCAGACAACCGGAAGCAGTCTAGAAAACAAGACACCCACATTCCCAACAGGTGGGGAGGGTGGTTTTTGGTTGTTCAATGGATTATGGGTGTTTATCATAGTTTAGGGGGGGTTAGTTGCAAGTTGTTGTTGGTCATGGTCAGGAAAAAAGCGGAACAAAGGAGATTAGATGCAGGGATCTCTTTCTGAAGGAAAAAGGGGTTTAGTATAAAATAGTGAATTGTTGAATCTACTTTTGAACTAAAAAACAACCACTTGTCTCAAATATTTTACACTGGTATTGATTCAAATTTAAGGTTATTTTTGTTATACTGTAATTGTTTCTATTCTTGTTTAAGGCACTGTACCCATGCAGCTCATTTAAAAATGTAAAGTTTTAGTTCTTGAAAGCTATTTAGAATAATAAAGAAAGACAAGTTAGTAGTTAGTCATCTTTAGCAATCAAACTTTTAGTCATGTTAGGTATGTTTTCTAGGTGAAACAGTGCAGAGGGCTGTGGGAGTATACAGCAGGTGACAACTAGTATTTAACAGGCCGACCCACCAGATGAGTTCCTGATGGGGAACACCACTTGGAGAAGCCATGGGCTTACTGACTGTAAATGACTGGCTGCTTCTGTCAGTAATTTTTCTCATGGGCCAAACGCAGTCTCACTATATGGACCAGCCTGACCTTGAATTCAGAGATCCGCCTGTAAAGGTGTAGACCCCCATGCTCAGCTGAGGAAGTTTTAACGTTTGAGCCTGGACCTTTTCTTACGTGAAATGGGAGAAAACCTTATGGTGCTCAAACACACGGCAGGGCAAGCACCTGTGAACTGTAATAGAGCGCTGAAGGAGGGCGGACGAGACGGCCCTGTGCTGTGAAACCTGACAGCCTGGGTTCCGGCCCTGGTCACACACAGTTCAGTGACTCCCGACAGGTGTCCTCTGACCTCTACATACGCACTCACATACACACAAACAGATGTCATTTCGAAGAAGAAAAAAAAGGAAATATTGCAGGTCTGCTACCCTAAGGAAATGCTGTTAATTGTGGTTGCTTTTTGAAAACAAGCAAACAAAAGACATTAATCTCAGCGGAAACAGATGTCTTTCTATAGAGCTTCTTTGAATTAACTATTTATTAAGACCATACTGCTGAATCAGTTCTACAACCCTGGCTATGGCAACGTGAAGTCTTCCTCCATTGACTGCTCAACAGACCAGCTGCTGCTGTGTACACAGTCCATGCTCTCACTGCTGGCCTCAGGATGCTGACATTTACCTTCAAGGCAGCTGGTGTCATTTCTCAGAAAATGTCAATGAATTCAGAAAAACAAAAGTGCTTTCTAAAGAAAGCATGTCAATCATAAGCTTCAAAAATACATCAGGTTCCAATAAAGTGAGGAAAAATTAACCTTCATATAGAAGAAACAGTCTAAATTAAGAAATATAAACACCCTTCCATCTACCAAGAAGTTAAGGGAAACAGAGTACCAATAAATATAACCCTGCTTGAGAGTAATTAGTGTCAGGCTACTCTCTAGAAATCCTGTTTACTATGTATGTAACTGTACAGAACTTACAAATCCATTTCCTTGAGTTTTTCAAGTCCATAAACTATTATTATAAAACTATTAACTTTGAAAAATTACGTGTGTCTTTCCATAGAAATGTAGAGAAGAAGCAAGTGTGTGGACTATAATCCCAGTCCTCAGGAGGCAGAGGCAGGCAGATCTCTGGGTTCCAGGCCAGCCTGGTCTGCAGATTCTGTCTCTCACCCCTCCACTCGGGGGAGAAAAGCAGCACAAAATAAATCACCATGGTGGCATGATGACATGACCACACACACGTTTAAGGGAGCCTTCTGAACATGGTTTAGTAGGCAGGGAGGTGGACCTGGGTGAAAACTCACCTCTATTTTACTAGTAGTTTGACTTCAAAAAGGTCTTTTCATACACTTTATACATGAACAAAATTCTCAAACAATTAAAAGGGAGAGAAAAGTTCTTTCTCCAGAAGCCAGCCTCCATCTACAAAATAGAAACAACTTCCTTGCAGCCAGCTCGGAAAGTACAGAGACCCTGTGACCTGAGCAATGTCTCCCTTGGCTTGTTTTCTGTATTCCAGGCTGGCCTCAAACTTGTTGTGCACCCTTACACTTCTGATCCTCCTGCCTCTACCTCCCAAGTGCTAGGATTACAAGCATGTACCACTGTTCTGGTCTGTGCAGTGCTGTAGCTGAACCCAGGGCCTTGCTAGGCAAGCACTCTACCAACTATGCTATATCCCAGCATTTCTTCATCTTCCATACTGGGGGAAATAACAATTACCCATGAACTATTTACAAGCAGTATTGGTTATTTGGTCAATATCATGTTATATACAAACTAGGAAAGTGATCCAGAACATCTTGAAAACATTTATGCCAGACTTTTCTGTTGGTATTGGCAAGACCTTTTGGTAATACCTTGCTATGTAACACAAACTGGCCTTGAACTCTTTGTCCTTCTATTACAGATGTAGGCTGTCATGCCCAGCTCCACACTATTTTATACTATTACATAGGCTTGTAGGTACAGAGACTCCCTGTCTCCTAAGCCACCAGTGAGCACGGTATGAAAGCCATTGCCTATGACATACTGTACCTTTTGTTCTGATTTCTCTTCCCTTGAATGGCTAAAACGTGTAAGCTAACACAAACCTGTCACAGTCCGCTGGCCATCACTTAGGCTATTCCACCACTTGTTAATCTAAAACAGAAGGAAAATTGCATATAACTCTATGTGAAACACTTCGGACTAAGGGGAAAGATGGGTGTTTTTTCTTAGGACTGAAACTATTTAATAAAAAGAATTCTCTACCAAACAAAACATTTTTCTCATATTACATAATCTTCAGAATTCTTTAAAGTAATTGTGGCTGTGACCAAAAAAACCTATCAACCCAAATTTATCGACTGCTATGATGCCTTTGGTCACAACTGTTTCTCAATTTTAATTTAGAGGACCGGAAACTTCTTTAACAGTATTAATTTCATGTCTCCTAAGTATCAGGATCCTTTATAATTTTAGAGAAGCAGTTTACTGCCCTTGATAAGTAACTAATTTTATCCAATTTCAGTGTCTCCCTTGTTGTTCCCACACAATTTTCATTTTAACATTCCTCCTACTGAAAAAGTCTTTTAACAATTCCCTAATTATAGGTATAAATATAAATAAGTAATTACAGGGAAAAAAGTGCTATATACTGAAAAAGACCTGAAATAATGTATGCAGTACAGAGAACATACTATTAAATATAAAACTGAGAATTTAATGATAGAATGCGTTGCAAGGCATGAGACTACAAAAACTGAACTGGAGGTCAAATCAAGCTTCTCCTGCCTGCCGTCTTAAGACAGCAGCTGCTTCTGTGCTATGCTCAGGAGGAAAAGGCTCGTCTGCACTGGTGTCTCTGTGTCCTCTCGAAAGCTCCTCAGACTCTCTCCACAGAACCACTGCTCAGACATTTTCTCTGAACAGAACGAGATAATAAAGGTGAGCTAGCAATGTTGTCGTGAGGCCTACCAAGTGAAGAACAGGGCCACACTCTAAGATGGAGGAGGTAAGGTCCTATCAAGTTTAAAACTGTTACCTAAGACCTGGCTGTGCTGGCAAAAGGCTTTAATGCTAGCATGTGGGAAGCAGAGGCAGGCAGATCTCTGAGAATTTCAGGTCAGCCTGGGCTACAGAGTGAGTGTCAGGACAGCCTGAACTACACAATGACACTCTATCTAAAACAAAACAAACTTTAATTTAAAAAAAATCTAACTAAGGGAGCTGGAGAAACACTTACTTCAAAATTATGAGGACTGAAGTTCATTTCCTAGCACTTTTATAAAACGTTCCAAGAGCTCCAATACCCACTGCTGGCCTCTGTCACTTCCCACAACAGACAGACAGACAGACAGACAGACACACACACACACACACACACACAAGCTCTTGAGCATACACTCACATACTCTCTTCATGTGTGCTATACACACACAAGACATATATCTTAAAATAAAACAAAACAAAAAAAAAACTAAGAAAAAAGTTACAACAGGTACTAGCATGGTATCCTGGGCCTGAAGTCCTAGTTTTTCAAGAGGCTGAAGAAAAGAAATGCTTGAGCCCAGGAGTTGGTGGTAAGCCTGAGCAACAGGGCAAAACCATATCAAAACAGAAAGAAGGGGCTGGGGGACTGCTCAGTTTTTAAGAGCATCAGCTGCTCTTAAAAAGGACCTGGGTTTGATTCCCAGCACCCACATGGTGACTCACAACCACCGGTAACTCGGGTTCCAGGGGATCCAGTGTCCTCTTTTGAGTTCTGTGGGTACCAGACATGCACATGGTGCACATACATACAGGCAGGCAAGGCATTCATACACATAAATCTTCAGAAAATGAAATTCAAATGATATTCTTCACTAAAATTGCCACTTTTTTTGAGTCATTCTCCCGGTTGAGGCCTGACTGCCCTGACACTCAGAGATTGCCTGCCTCTGCCACGCACCTGGGGCCACGTTTTTAGGGACCAATGTGCTGATGACTTCTTTCCAATAATCTAGTAAGGGAAGGGAAAGGATATGAAAAATGAAACTGGCCATGTGCTGGGAACTACTGTTTGTACAATAACAGGCTTCTTTATGCTTTTCTCTCTACTTCTCAATCTGAAATGTTTCCATGATTAAAACGTTTAAGTAAAAACTATTCTAGGGCTATGATGTGCCTGGCATGCACAGTCCTGGGCTCCATCCCAGCACACAGAAAACACTGTGCTAGTTCATACCTATCAGCCCAGCTCTTGGGAAGTGGAGGCAGGAGGATTAGAAATTCAAGGTCATCTTTGTGCACATAACAAAGTCAAGGCTAGCCTGAACTCATATTTGAGATCTTGTCTCAAAAACAATTCTAATTATGAAACTGAACCAGACTTTCACAAGGAAAGAAACTCAAGACTTAAAAGGAGTGACACATTAGGATGTATGTGATCCCATCTCTGTAACTAACTGTGAGTTCCCAGAGCTGCAACAGTGGTGTGGACCAGTTTCTAAGAATCTGCTTTCTAACTAAGAGCTTGCTCTGTCATTGAGGCTTTCCTCAAATTCCCGAACTCAGAAATTTTCAGGTACCAGGGACAAAGGCCCGTGCTACTATGGCAGGCTAGGACTTCCTCTTCCATATTATACTCATAATTGTTTCAGTTTTCTTTAATGAATATAGATTTTTAAATACCATAATCTGATAAGATAAAAAGGGAGATTATTGAATCCACTTTTAAAAAGGAACTACTTGTTTTAAATAGGATACGTAATGAAAATTTTTTGTCTGAATCTGTCAAATGGTAATGGACTAGACATTGTTAATGCAATTCTTGACTGTATATATTGTATATACTTATTGGATATAGTTTTTCTTATATTAGTTATAAGCATTTTAAAAGTTAGACAAAAAAGGGAAATGCGGTGATATTGTGTCCACCAATATATTGTGCACCTTAATAAACTTGTCTGGGGTCAGAGAACAGAACAGCTGCTAGATAGACATAGAGGCCAGAAAATGGTGGCACACACACCTTTAATCCTAGCATTCTGGAGGCAGAGATCTGTCTGGATCTCTGTGAGTTTAAAGCCACACTGGAAACAGCATGGCATGGTGACACACGCCTTTAATCCCAGGAAGTGATAGCAGAAAGGTATATAAGGTATGAGGACCAGGAACTAGAGCCTGGTTAAGCTTTTAGGCTTCTGAGCAGCATTTCAGCTAAGATCCATCTGGATGAGGACACAGAGGCTTCCAGTTTGAGGAAATGAGATCAGCTGAGGAATTGGTGAGGTGAGGTTAGCTGTGGCTTGTTCTGATTCTCTGATCTTTCAGAATTCACCCCAATACCTGGTGGTTCCAGGTTTGTTTTTATTAATAAGACCCTTTAAGATTCACGTTACAATAACCTACTATTTGCTTAGCTATTATTAAATGAACGCTATTTTTGGATCAGGGCTTTGGATACACATCCCTATTGTTTTCCACACTCTCAAGCATCACAGAGATGGCCGGCACACTGCTAGACCCGAGTTCAGGCCCAGCACTCCTGTCCACTGCAGCTCCAGCTCCAGAGGACCCACTGCCCTCCTCCAGCCTCCGTGGGCACCTGCAAGTATGTGGCCTGCACATACATAAATAAAAACAAATCCTTTGGCTCAGCAGTTAGGAGCACTGCTCTTTCAGGACCACAGTTCAATTTCCAGCACCCACATGACGGGTCACAGCCATGTGCAGCTCCAGTTCCATGGGAATCCAGAACCATTCTTTTTCTGGCCTCTGAGGGTGCTGAATGCACATGCTGCACAGAAACACATGCAGCCAAAACAACAAGACACCGAGGCCAACAAACAAACAAACAAACCCAGATGCCTTGCTGAGCCTGTACAAGGCCCTGAGTTCAGCTCCTAACGCTGGTGAGAGGTGTGAGTGGTGCTTGAAAACAAATGGATGTGGAATCAAGTGTGCTACCCACGGCCTCAGTACCCAGTATGTACTGACAAGTAAAATACTGTATCTAGAAACTTTAAGAACTTGGTTAAGAGGAAAGACGAATGGTCATGTTCTGTTTTGAAATAACCTCTGTGTATTTCATTTATTTTCTTTTACCTGGCAATCTCTGAGCAGGCTTCAG